TCTCAATAGCCTAAACCACTTTGTCAAATAAATCACTCTCTCTGCAAAACCTTAAACAGGTTCAGGCAGTTTAGACACTGTTCGCAGATCTCATGCACTCTTTTTGTAAAACTCTAAACACATTCTCACTAAAACTTGGTTTTCATCGTGATAAACATGTGATGCAGAACCCTAAACACAAGAAAGCAAAAGTTAAGCACAACTGCAACACGGTTGTCATCGTTTAAACACAATCATTCAAAACTGTTCACACTTGTTTCTAAATATGTGAATGTACAAAATATAAGCCAGTTCAAAGTGCACAGATGGCATGGGTGCATCCATCAATGTGAGAGGTACAGAAGAGTGCGTATACAAGGTGGAGGAAGAGGAGGACGAGGAAGAGCAAGACCAAGAACAGTCATTTCAGATGAAATCAGAGCTACTGTGATAGACCATGTTCAAGTGAGCTAAACCTGACAAAATCTCCAAAAACCTCCCGTTGGGGACGTCCTCATTTGTAAAACTGGTATAAAAATAAAGTTCTGAGTTTTTTTTTTATTGTAAAAATGCAGTTTCCTGTAAGGGGTAGGTTTAGGAGTAGGGTTGGTGTAGGGTGATAGAAAATACAGTTTGTACAGTATAAAAACCATTACGCCTATGGAATGTCCCCATTTACAGTTTTTCTCGATTGCTAACGCACTATAACTGATTCGTTTGGCACAATTTTCCAAACCATTCATACAGTTCCTAAAACAAAGACACGTTTCTCAAAACTTTTAACACATTTCACCTGTTTTCACACATGCTCCAATTTGCTCAGTGTTTTCAGCAAAACTCTACACAAGAACGGCATCATTTTGCTCAGGTTTAACAATGTTCTCATTTAGAAAACACAATATAACTACCTCAAGAATCACAATATAAACTCAAACAGCACACATTTATCCATGTGTGAACATTCAGTAGCAAAACTGATGACACAGCAGTCAGAATCTCAGGATGATATGAACAAGAGCACAGCTGATTATGTGACTTGGAAAATGAATCCTACTACTGGGAGACAAAGAGGAAGAGGAGGGGAAAAGAAAACTGAAGGGGACGGGGTCAAAGGACATTTATTCCTGATGAAATACACAGCGCTGTAGTTGATCATGTTCTTGTGCATGAGGACAGCTGGCCTACAGGCTCATCTACAGGCTTTCAATACTACTTACAGATCAAATATAATGACAGAACAGTAGCAGTACTTCAGATGAGAGAACTTTTACTTTTTATATACAGTATATGTACAGTACAGTAAATACTGAAGAACAAGTTGTACACCCTCAAACTCATAACTGCTGAACTGATTTGTAGCCAAGTACAGTACTTCTTACATGTACTGTATTTTTGCAGAACTGAGAGATGACTCTATATTCTGTTGTGTTCATATGCAATTCTTTGGTATTTGACCTTTTCCTTTCTAGTGCTTTTCATCTACTGTACTGTAAGATCTCTTTACAGCAGTGTAATGAAAATAATCTTTTCTTACTGTAAAGCTTATTGTTGAATTTCACTGTATCTGCTATATTTACCGTAACATGTATGTGCTCTAATTATGTTGTATACTGTAAGAGATATTGAGCTGTAAAATGATACCTGATTGGCAAAAGAAGGTTTTTGCAACAGTGTGATAAATTGATCTCATTAGTGTGTAAGATGTTGTTGTGTGTGTGTTTCTGAGGGCTTGTGTGTGTCATGTCTGAGGGCAAAGTTTGTTTTTTTTCAGCAAGATTGAATAGTTTTGAGTGGATATTCAGAAAAACTGTAATTGCGGTCCAGCTTGGTTAATCAAGTTAAATAGGCCCTTTATATTAGGCAGTGTTATTACGTGCAGGTCGTGGACTGTAAGATCATTTTATTATCTGGTCTTACATTAATGCAACAGGGGAAAGTGGGGATTGTAACAGCGCACCGTTGCAAGAGGATAATGACAAAACGGACGAAGAGATGAGGAAAACGATCATTTATTACATGCACTTTGTTAACGTCAATCACTTAGCCTATGTGCTTTTTTATATAAATTACTATTACAGGGTCACGTGTTTTCTTTAAAAATTGCTGACATTAGTGAATATGCCTATGTTTATGGCGGAGTCTCATTTTAAAGTGATTTTTTTTTTTTTTTTTTTTTTTTTTTTTTTTTAACCATCGCTTTTTATTTTCAGACATAGAATAGGCTACGGCGGCTTTGCAATGATCAACATGCATTAACTCATCATGCCCCCTTATCCACATAATGCCCCCCTGTTCACGCATTACCTCGTGATCTCTAATTACCTCTGTGCAAGAGCTTCTTCGGGACTGTCTATGGCAAAATACCATTTAATCTATAAAGCGCACTAGTATCTAATTTAATGTTACTAGTACTTATTTTTTAGATACTAGTATATTTTCCATTAAGTACTAGTACTTATTCATTAAATATGTTGCTGGCTCATTCATATTCAACATCCGATTACCATACTGGGCAGAAATGCTAATTTAAAAAGTATAGTATCTATTAAGTTCAGGATATCTCTGGTCTAAAAAGTTACTAACTAAAAAATAAGTACTAGTTCTATTTTTTCTTAACAAGAAGAGTATAATTAAATACTAGTCACTATTGGAATAAGTACTAGTATCTAATGATTAAGTACTAGTATCTAATGAATAAGTACTAGTAACTTTACAAAATACACTAGTACCTAAAGAATAAGCACTAGTAGCTAAAGAATAAGCACTAGTACCTAATGAATAAGTACTAGTACTTAATGGAAAAGATACTAGTATCTAAAAAATAAGTACTAGTACCATGAAAATAGATACTAGTACGGCTTATAGATTAAATGTTACTACGGCTTTCCATAGACTGTCACCATTCTGGCCACAAGAGGACGCAAACTAGTTATAGCTTCAGATCCTCCACACTGTTTAGTCCATTCATCAACGTCGACTTTTGTCTGCAAGCCCAAGACTGTAGATCATAATTAGCCTGTTTATTGTTTCAACGTAAACAGACTATTTTTGTTAAAAGTGATGCCATAATATATTATTTTAAACTATGGTCTGCGGCTAAAATTAGTACTAAGACGTCTTACAACCAGGAGACTTTGCAAACATTGCACGAGGGATGTTTTCAGTTTATTCAATTATATAATATCTCAGACATAGCCTATTGACCGTGCGGTAGGCCTATGCCAGATACACTAATATAAGTAATGTTACAATAAAACCTTTAAAAAGGTCATAACACCAAATGTTCTGAACCAGTTGTCTTTAAAGATAAGATGCTCTGAATTTTCATAAAGAGATTATGGTACTGTGCTTTTCTTTTTCAGTCTTGGGATGTGAAATGATGGCAAAACAACTCTTTGTGAACTTAAGCCTAAATCCGTAATATATCTGTGGAAAAGTCGGTTAAAATCGCTACAGAATAGCGTAACATGAACACTTTGAATGGTCCACATCTGTTCTGCGAGCATGAGATCCGCATTCTTCACACATGACTAAACGCATGTGCTCTGCCAGGCCGCCGTGTATCTGTGATATGTTACTCGCTTTCTACATTTACACACCTTTACTTACATGATCCAAATGTCTAAACGCCATGGCAAGAACTTTGAAGAAGGCATATGAAGCCAAACTTAGTACTAAGAAAAAAATATTGTCGTGCCTCTTTACTGCCTCATCGCGTGTTGCAGGTCACGACAGGCATCTTCTTAAAGATATAGGCTTATTCAATCACCCTAATGTCATTCGGACAGATTTAAAAGATTAAGTGTTTAGCAGTTTTAGTTAATTGCAACCACTGGTGTTCAGTATTTATAAAAGTCATACCCTACACTCTAAAAAATGCTGGGTTGTTTCAACCCAACTTTGGGTCAAATATGGTCTAACCCAACTGTTGGGTTAAATTTTTACATTAAATTTTTAACCCAAAAGTTGGGTTAGTCCAAATTTGACCCAAAGTTGGGTTGAAATAACCCAGCATTTTTTAGAGTGTACCTTTAGAATATGCCTACCAGAAATTAATTTCTGAGAATACGGATTTTTCAGTTTACATATTACAAGTCTTGAAATATCTCACATTTTGGGATTATATGGCCTGAGAAACATTTGTGAAACTGTAAAAAAAAAAAAAAAAAAAAAAAAAAAAAAAAAATTTAAAACAGCCAAAATTTAAACTGACTCCAAATAATGAGCACAATGTAAGAAATATATATCCAGGTAGCCTTACTGTAATAAGGGCTCGTTTACATTCAGTTTAACAATGACAATAAAATAAACAATAAAAATGCATTGATCATATTTCACTAAAACACTGCCACGTGAGCGGAAAAATGTATCACAGGACATTTAGCTGTCAATTAAGTCATTTATGCAATTGAGCTTTTGGTAGAAGCGCATCATCAAGACGTTCATGCATTTGATGCCGTTGCGCTGGTTTGATTAATTTTCATTTTAATTAGAAATTAAATGCAAACAGATAGTTCTCGCGCTAAGTATTTCAGGCACCCTAATATTGCGAATGAGGCTTGGTCTACCTATGCTAGTCTGACTTCACTTGTCCCGAGGTCGAAATCAGATATAACTATTTTAACTATTTTAGGACTATACATTGATGTAGTAGTAATATTAGAATTTACAGCATGAACAGCAAACATATTCAAATTTAAATGAAGGCATTTAATTAGTATTATTTAAATATACATATACATTATTGTTTTAGTAGCACATTTTTACATTTAAATTAAGGCATTTAGGAGACACTCTTATCCACAAAACGCATTTGGATTTAAAAGGGAAATAGGCTTATATATTTTCGCAAAGTAGCCTGTTTGTTGTAGCTGTAGGCTATATTTTATGGTTTTGTGAAAGTAAAAGCTTAGGCTAAGTTGTTTCCAGACTATTAGGCTATCGTTGTCCCAAAGAATGTGTCCCATAGCCTAGGCTATATATTAGACTATTACTGTTTTAACTATTTCTTCTCAAAAGCTGTAAATATCTAAAATCTTTTTTTTTTAAGATATGTTTTTAATTTTAATTATCTTTGAGCGTGACTGCGGGAGGCAGAATTCATCTACCAGGGCGAGAGCAATCTCTGTGCCGTTGGATATCTGTGAGCACAGGCGCGGAACGGAATTGGACGCTGACACACGTGGCAAAGAGCTCCTTTGTCATGGATAGGCTCCCCACTCATCTATGTGATCTGATGTGTTTCCGGTTAGTGGCCACTAAGAGTGGTTGTGCACGAGTAGAGTTCCAGAAAAAGAGGTGTCAAACCGAGGTCTGGCGATGCGGAGGGTGTAGGAAAGCTGCGTACTGTGCGCTGTCAGTGCTTTCCAAACGCGCAGAAAGTGACGGCGCGCAAGCGTTATCTCCACTATGTCAACAAGTTTACTTAAAAAAAAAATGTACTCACTTTCGCAGGGGATTGGCGCGTTGTCATGGATACCTAGATAGCACTGTCCAACCTTCTGTTATATTTGGAACAGAACAGGTTACATTCAACCACTGGAGCGAATATCAAAGAGGGAAGCTGTTATGGAAGAGCAGCGGGATCAGAGTGAAGATGACAGCGTTTCTCTGTCACCGAGCCTGCCCTCTCCACCTCTGCAGGCTGCGCACCACGCGCACAGAACCACGAACTTTTTAATTGACAACATTCTCAGACCGGACTTCGGCTGCAAAAGGGAGCAGCGTCCAGGTGCACGGTCTTTTGTTGCCCGACCAACTGTCCCCAGCACTCCTTGTACGGATTCCAACTGCAGCACCGACAGTGTTTCATCTTCAGCCTCGTCCACCGTTTCGTCTCCAGCCAGCAGAAGCCATTCCAAAGTAGACGAGGCCGAAAGAGGGAACGCAGCAAACTGTGGGGTTGTCTCAGCGTCCCCCGTTGCTTTGAATAGCCCGGGTGAAGCCTCCTCGCCCAGTAAGGACAAACAAGCGCTTCTGTGGCCCGCCTGGGTTTACTGCACGAGATACTCTGATCGACCTTCATCTGGTAAGGCACCTGGTAACTAATAATACCACCAGTTCTCTTCTTTCTTGGCCATATATTTATTTTGTTGCATAAACTAAAAGCAGGAAAATCAACTATATGAAATTGATTAAGTTAAGGTTAGTTTCGGTCGTAGAAATATTCGAGCTGACACACACCGTAATCATATAATAATGTCTCATGTTCATCAAGCTAGACCAAATTGTTTTTCCTTTTACAGCATGTACGACCCAGACGTAATAGCTACTCCACATAATATTCCAAGAATTTTCATGCCATATACATACATATATATATATTTATATGTATATATATATGTGTGTGTGTGTGTGTGTGTGTGTGTGTGTATATATATATATATGACTAATACTATAATAATAAAAGTTATAATCTTGAAAAACTTTTAATAATAAAGTCTTGTCACACGCATTTACATAAACGTCGTTTAATAATAAAGTTATATAAATGCCGTCCAAGACAATTACAAAACTAAAGTACATTCCTCAATAAATATATTGAAGTATAATTTAAATGCGTGTGATTGATTTCGTGTTTTAGCGTTGAGGTTTGTAGCTTACTGCCATAAGTTAGTGACTCTTATTTTTATTATTATTATTATTTACAATATCTCACATAATTTGCTTTTAGCCTATTCATTTTAATGTCGTAAAAAATATTTTTTTTTAATCAGATGCTGCATTTTTTTTCTTGGTTTTCTCAATTCACCGTTCAAAACTGGAGTAAAAAAAAAACAAACTAAAAATTCATTTTTATTTCTGAGGAAAGTTACATGAATATACAACCAAATTTAAAGTTGCTAAATCTCTTACATCAGCTCTAACTTTTTGGCTTTTGTCGCTTATCTTAATTTGGCATTTTTAATACAACTTCAGGAGCACGACTTTAAAACGAATATCACTTCTATCATTTATCATCTGCATCATTGTATGTGCAGTACAGACTCAATTATGGCTCTTTTTTATTTTTTTTATTTGTAACAGTGTCAGCAACATAATGACAATGTAGTTCATATGTTTACAATAACAATATCTGTCTATAGGCTATGTTTGTGTAGCCTAAAACATTAATATTTTCTTACAAACTGAAGCAACAATTTGCGTTTATTAGTTTGTTTATTTATTTATCTTTAACAGGGACAGCACTCATTAACAGCAGCAAAACTGTAAGAGCTGTAGTCCCTGGCCAGTTCTTTAAGGCAACCTAAATTTAAAACGATTATTATTGTAAAAAGTTAGAAGAGTCTATTTTGATGTTTATTTATTCCAGTGATCATGTGGCACAATACTCAACACGCCAGTGTCCTTCTGTGTGTGGAGTCCAAAATGGCTTTGACATTTGATGAGATGGTTGATATTCATGGATTCGTCTCATTGTTGTCTCCACACAAGGCCCAAGGACCCGGAAATTGAAAAAGAAGAAAAACGACAGTGAGGATAAACGACCCAGAACGGCGTTCACAGCTGAGCAGCTCCAAAGACTGAAGGCTGAGTTCCAGGCGAGCCGCTATATCACGGAGCAGCGGCGGCAGGCCCTGGCGCACGAACTCAAGCTGAACGAGTCGCAGATTAAAATCTGGTTCCAGAACAAACGGGCTAAAATCAAGAAAGCCACCGGATTCGAGAACGGCCTGGCAGTGCAGCTAATGGCGCAGGGACTGTACAACCATTCCACCACCACCCTTCAAGAAGACGACGGCAACTATAGCAAAGACAGAGAGAGAGAGAGAACCCGCATAGTAAAATAAAAGGGTCGGAAGACTGAAGGGAAGAAGGAAAAACTCAAATACTTGACCAGGAATATTATAAAGGAATATTACCATATATGTTACTTTATCAACCTGTTTTGGAAAAGCGGTGATTTTTTTTTTTTTTTTTTACAATAAAAATATGTGGACTTAATAAATATGCAGCCCTCATTTTTATTTTGGGGATGCTATTAAAGTCTAATGGATCGCGCTATAGTTTGCTTGAAATCGTTACATGCCACTACCAGTAAAAAGACACTTTACATTTGATCTAAATTGTTGTTTTTATACTGTTAAAAGCAATATTTCTTCGTGCCAAAGATGTATTCGATTAAAGTATCCAGAGAACAGTAGCCTATAGGCTACACTTCGTCTATTGATAATATTTTTTTCTTTGCTGATGGGGGATAATGGGAGACTTATCTGATATCAGATATTATTCTTTGCAATATATTTAATACTGTATCCAAATAAACCTCTTTTTGTACATGGCCTCTGTTTTCTCTTTATTTTACCCTTACCGTTAATAGGCTAATCCTCTAAACAAGTTTTTTTTTTTTTTTTTTTTGTCTCTTGCACCATGGAATCAGAGTCAGAGCTCAAAAGACGTAACTAAGTCATCAAACTTGCGTCGTCAAATTTATTTCAACATTGTTTACCTAAGTTTCTCACAATAAAACGACTCTCATAATCCTATAATTCTGTGAAGGTAGAATGACGTCAAAAAGATTTGCATACGCAGGGTAAGAGTTGTGGAAGTGTACATAAGACTGTAAGCGTAAATTAAATTTGCATGCGCAAGAGAAGCTTTGTAAAGGTGTAAATCGCGTTTCAAGCGCAAGAAAAAATGATTTGCAGCATTTTACTGTTACTCGTAAGTGTAATTCATGTATTGTGAAACTGCAGCTTCATGCTAACGCAAAATAAATATGATCTGCATGCTTCTGACTTCCATTTTTCCGCGCTTACACTTTTGGCTGGCGTACTATTTATACGCATTTTCATGAGATCGGGTTGCTTTTTTTACGTGACACGCTGCGCAGTTCATATAGCCTATAGGCATGTAAAACAATAAAATATGAATATTTACACAGCGTAATTATTTCACCCGTAGTCTAAAGTAAACTAGACTACAAAACTATCAATAAAAAATACATTGTATTTACAATATTTAATATACAGACGTATCTGTGATTAATTACTAAAAACAGATGATGAAAAATACATTTTCACATTTTTTATGTAGGAAGACAAAAGCATGGTGCAAAATTACCTTAGCTGGAATAATACACACGTATACGCTAATAATAATATTAATAGTAATATCCCTAGGTTTCAAGAATAATGGGCCTAATTTAATTGAAGGAAATGTAAGGCTTATTGTTTCTATATTCCATATCGCCGCCCATCCCTGTTTAGCTGCGTGGCTCTGAGAATTTGAGAACAGTAGCCTAGTTGAGTGATTGTTTCGGTGGTGTGTTGTGGGCATGTAGTGGCTTTTTTGTAACCGATTTATCAAACCAAAGACGACAGAGAATCGTGAACACCTTATCCTGATGGGAATCACTGTTTGCTTTTTAGAAGCTCTCTGCCCGGGGCAACAGCGTCATATGGCATCTGCACTGGACCTGCAGCGTGCGTGTTGTTGGATTCGTGGTTTTCTCACACCTTCATAGTCTCCACTGCTATGGTCCTCAACATGAGGCGCGCCCGGGCAGGCTCGGCTAAGCGCAGGAATTAGCTACTGTCAAGTTCAAAAGGGAGTTACGCTTGACTGAGATCTTGGCTTGTAAATCGACGTTTTTCTCAAGTTCTTAAAAACCACAATAGAAATAGCCTTCAAAATGTGATTTAGAAATAATAAACTAAGGTTCATGCCTACAACTCATGTGAGCGTTTTCAAGGAAGATCTCCCGCGTAACGCGCCGCTTTGCTGTCGCAAGCTAGAAAATCGATTTTGTGGTGCATCTGGCAACGAATAAAATTAGCAAACGAGACATTACTGGATGTTGTTCACCATTAATCACTGCTAAAAAGCTCACATTGCCTCTTGCATCTTCCGCTGCCACGCCAGGCTTGAGACTAGATTTGTTGTAACAAAACTGAACTATTTTAATAACTGAATAAGCTTTTTTTGGGAAACGGGAAAAAAGACGGGCTAAATTTGAGACCCGTGCAGGGCTTTAATCCACTTCATGTTTTTTTTTTTCAGTTTTATTTAAATTTGTAGTTAAAACATCTAAAAATAAATGTATTTTAAAGTTTAGAATTAGACAGCACACAGGCTTACGCCGAAAACAACAAAATGGTCAAGGTTGATCTAGGAAAATGTGTGCAAATGTATAGGGCCCCATTCCTATATTTTGCCTGGGGCCCCCAATTCACTAAATCCGCCCCTGATTGTAGCCTACAAATAGACAAATCCGGATAACAGATAACAACGGTGTGGGAAAAAGTAAAACAAATGATTAAAAATATATAAATAAATAATGATTCTGTTTCAGAAATGTGTTCATTTTACTGCTTCGTGAATACAGCTGTCGTGGAGGACAATGATTTACTGTAAGCAGCATCATCCTTTCGGACAACATGCTACAGTGTATCTACAAAATAAATAAATAAATAAAATACAAAAAAATATAATAATAATAAATAAATAAATAAATTAACAAATAAATAAATATTAAATAGACCGGCCAAACAATGCAAAACATAGCCTATTTATTATTCATACAGTGCATGCTGGGAAGAAGGTGAATGAAACCATTTTTAAGTGTGGGCTTATTTGAACTAAAATAATTAAATTCCCCGCTACACGCTTGTCGGTTCAACTTTCGTGTATAGAACTTCGGGATGTAGGCTACTTAAAACAACATACTAGGCCTGATCAAAAATCTTTGAGTAGATACTCTTAAAAAATAAAGGGTTCGAAATGGAACCATAAAAAAAATGCTTTAACGATTGCAGTAAATCAACAATGTGT